CTAAAACTACTGCACTCTTACCATTAAAAGTTCATCATAATGCGATTAAGATAACTGTCAGGTAAGTAATTAAGTGCAATTAAGGTTACTTGTAACTGTAAGGTACGTTATTAAGGTAATGAATTAAGGTAAGGTAATCATTATCATTAACAACAAGAAGCACAACAACAACAACAACAGAACAACAACAATAACAATGCCTGAGGGTTTTGTTTCGGACAGGCGCTGAGCAACCCCACGCACACGCACACGCAGGAAGGGGGTGACAGAGAGGTACGGTACCCCGCACTCGTGCTCGGAGCTGTCCGGCGAAGACAAGAGCTCGGCCGCGTCGCGCCTCATGCTCGCGTGGTGGGGTGGGGTGAGGGGTCAAGGGGGGGGTCAGGATCACTCCGAGCCCACGAGCTGACCAACACGCGCCGCTCAGCGAGCCATGACCCCTGAACTCGAAGCAGCCGGACTCCTCTGGGCTCCGCGCAAAGCCGAAAACAGAGAGCAGAGCCAGACGCCTGGACTGGACGAACTTCCGAGTGGGAAAACGAGTTAAAAAAATCCCAGGAGCTCGGCACCGCAGTGTCGTCGGTCTGGTGTCCTCGTTGACAGAGCCGTTACCCAGCGGCGTTTCAGTGACGGTACTCCTGCTGTCTGGGATACTTAAAAATGTAGAGAATAATAATTAAAAAAAAGATCAGAGTATAATCCTCGTTTTTGTTTTTTTCACGCAGTGGCGGTATTTCCTAGTTCTGAGCCCAAGTGTCGTTTCGCACGGGGCGGTTTGATTTTTTTTTCTTCTTCAGCTCTGCGAATATTGGTGACAAACGCAACAATATTTCCCTGAAATGCGCGTTAGTTCTCTCTGCCAGCGCGCATCTGCTCAACTCCTCCGCACAGCGCTTCGAGCTGGGGCTGCTCTCAACTCCGGGCTGTCTCATGAACTCGCTGCGACAGCTGAATATTTAATTCTGTCCTTCGCTGTTTCGCCTTTTTTTTTCGTCCACCTCGCTTTTAAAGAAAAGCTGAAAACGCATGATTTACAACAAAAAAAGTCTAGATGCTCCTTGGCAGAGACGGTGCCGTCTTATTATAACGCCGGAGCGCTCCTACGTCGGCGTGTTAAAATGGAAGCCAAACTTATCGTCTAAAATAAATAGCATCGTAATCCGTGCGCTCAGCTGCTGTCGCTGCGTGTTCAATTCGCTTGACAGGCCGGCTGCGGGGACGCGCGCACAAAAATCCCACAGCCGGAGGCAGCGGGAGGGGAGGGGGGAAGCGCGTCCCCGAGGAAGAGGGTGGGAGGACGGGAAGCGAGGGGCGGAGTCAGGATTGTAAAGGCTTGACGTCACTGTCGCTGGGGGGCGGGGTCACAAAGAGGATCTGCCTATCGGTGGAAGAGCTGCAAGAATAAGGCTGGGTTAATATATCGGAACACGCCCCCTTGGCCCTTTCAAGTCAGTGATTGGAGGGCGGAGAACGTTTCCAGCCAATCGCAAGGAAGAGAAGGAATAAACAATAAAAACCAGCGTGGTGCGGTTGTTTGTGTTGTTAACGCCAGGAAGTGTATGGTGTTTCCTTGCAATGCATACGCGATTGAGCAGAACACGTAGGAATAGCTGGATATTGGAACCTAGTTCTCCCTTGTAAAAAATTCTCAGCGTTTAAAGGCATCTTTGCTATGGAACTCGTGAGAAGTGAGCTGATGGAGGAGCAGGGCGAACACAAATAGATTCGTTCAAGATCCTGTCTGCCTCCTGCCCTCCTTATCGCCCCCGCAGATCCTGCTACCTCCCCAGGGAGAGAGGTTTTCTGAAGCATCTCTTCT